TTCCGGCGTGGGAACCAAGGTGGGTGAGTATGATCCATTCTATATGTATATATGTGTATATATATATATATATATATGTATTTTATGTGTGGGTGTTTATGTGTGCTGTGACCTTCTGTGAGATTTTTTTGCAGTGTTTTTCCGGGACTATGTGTTTCTGTTATAGGTGGCATTTGCGAGAACCTTCTTGTGTATGCTGTCTCAGGCAGTGCTCTCCTCGCCTTAGAGGGCTGTATTTGAGCTTGCCTCTCCTGTTTGGCCCAGTACCTCCGAGTATCTGTGATCAGATGCCTGGAAATGTTAATCCATGCTATGGTAAGTGCACACGCTACGCTCTGTGCACTTTCTGAAATCCACATAGTGGTAAGTGTGCACGTTGAACACTTTGCGCACTTACTAAAATCCACAGTAGTGGTAAGTGTGCACGCTAGACTTTGCGCACTTTCTGAAATCCTGTACAGTAAGGGTTACGCGTTATAACTTCATTCCCTTTCTCTGAGTTGGTTAGACCCCGGTACCTTGGGCTCCACTCAAGCAGTGTGTATCTAATTTAACACAATTGGAAGTATCGCTCCCCTCACCATTGAGGTTTACTATGAGCATGCTGCTTCCTATCGAGCGCCTGGGTTCGCTCCATGGGCTGCTCTCGTGGTAATAATAGCAGTGTTCCCCTTTTTCCAAAGGGTTGCCTATGAGTGCACTATTCTTTCTGAATTCGGAGTTCTCCTCTCACGTGAGAGTTGAGTTCTCTGTTTTTCCCAGAGCACCTGGAACCAGCAGCATCAGGTGAACATAGGCCCTTCACTCCGCCTCTCTGATGCGCTGAGTTTTTGGCTAGCTTGCAGTACGCTTACCCTCTGATTTCTAAAGATCATGCTGTGCGAGCCCCCTCTCTCGTTGAGAGCTGGGTGTGTTGCTCCCTCAGCTAGAGATTTACTGCTAGCCAATCCAGCTTTATGCTTTAGATCGAGTTGGTGACTCTCAAACATATTGGTTTTGGGATGGACCATTCCATCTATGAGCTGCTCTTTCAGAGTGCCACGAGAGCCCCTTAGAACGGTATCCTAAAATCCATGTTATGGTAAGTGTGCACGTGAAGGCTTTGTGCACTTTCTGAAAATCCACATTGTGGTAAGTTCGCACGCTAGTTCTTTGCGTTCTTTTCTAAAATCCTATATGGTGAGGGCTTTGTGCAGTTACTTCATGCCCTTTCTTGAGCTGGTTAGGGCCCCGTTCACCTTGGGCGCCACTTCACCTAGGTATCCTAGGATACCTACTTTAACAGGGTGTTGCTACTTGGCGCCTATTTATAATAATAGTCGCACCAGTAGTGACGTCATGGGCTGTCACCCGGCCAACGTGTTGTTGGTGTTTTTTTAAAGTATGCTTCAGAAACGGGTCACAAAGAGGCGTTCCCCATAGCGACCCCTAGAGGACGGAGTGTCTCGTTCCCTACTCAGGGAACCATGGTTCTGTCAGGACCACTATCGTCAAAGATGATTGACAATTAGCATACAGTTTGGATTGGCGATATGGTTCCATTCTGGGCAAGAACTCCCTTTAACAAATAATTCATTGAATATTTGCTTAATTATCACCAAGCCCGTTCAATTTGTTGTAGATCATTGAACCATTAAGCTGCCTCAGAAGCATGTCCGATATCAGTTTCATGAGTCATTAGCTGATTTTCTGAGGTTTCCGGATGCAGACGATTTCAACTGAACAATGACCGTTTACCAATTTCTCTTGGAGCTGCGCCGCAGCAGAAATGATTCCCTAGGTTAAAGGGGACATAACACACAGTTTTGGCCAATCTCATGTTATCTTGAATACCTATAATTGTAGTATTGCATCATTCCCATCTCCGAAGAGTCTTCAGTTTTATCAGATTTATAAAAGAAAAATACAGCTTGCGAATTCTCTCCGAAAACAGCCAAGCTCCTGGAGGCGAGCCGTGGGTGGAGCTGAAGAGTCACGAGCACTTACACTTACTAACAAATCACAGACATTTGATGCAGTTTTACAGCAGTTCTTATATGACCGGGATCTTTGATCGCTGGGGCTTCTCCATCTTCCAGACACTGCAAATCCAGTGTCAGAATATACCTTGCTACAAAACATTCGTCACCGAAATGACGAGAACAAACATACATGCTTGAGAAACCGAAAAAAACAAATTGCATCCACTGTTCACACAACACTGAATAAGGTTATCTTTTCCTCACATCCAAAAACACACTCTTTAGAGATTGTTTGACTTAATGCGGTGCCGCAAAGATCGGTTGCCTCCTGTCAAAAACAATGCATTCTGGTTACATTAAAATACTTTTGTCCAACTTTGATCGGCGCTGCAGCCGCCCTACGATCACGTGTGCATTCAAAGTACGGCGAGAGCAAAACGGGACCAGCCGCCTAGGTCAGGCACTGCAAAAGCCTTGATGACGACACACTTTATTCTCATTGGTTAGATTCTGTGATGACAAGCACGATGCGTGTTGCATGCTTATTCTAACAATTCAATTCCAATGCTCACAAATCTGGGTTTATAGAACAGTAAAAGCATTTTTAGGTAGTTGCACTGTTATTTTTGAGTCACGTTTCCAAAAAACACTGTTGAAAGCATATACACCCCCACTTAATAGTATTTAAATAGCATATGTTAGTGTTTAACTTATTCATGAACAGATGGCGCTGTATTAAGCAGTATAAAAAGTGTTTCTGTTGCTTTATGAAACATCTGTGTATTTGACAAATGTTGCATTTAATTTGCTTCATCTGTGAATGTATGCAAACACTGCGAGAGTGCCATTACCAGGAGCAGAAAGCGTCTGACTGTCTAAAACGTCTCCACTTTAATTCCGCCCCTGACTGCAAGCGGCTACTCTCTCCAGCCGGAGGCAGGCTAGTAACTCGAGCAGTAACTGCTGTGCTGCCGAAGACTTCCGTAACCATGAAAGAAACGCGTTAAGCGGCACGCTCTTGCTCTCGCTCTTGCTCTCGCTTGGGTCGCTGAGTGCGCGCACGCGCATAAGAATCCAACTCTTAATTAACAGTGTAAATAACTCAGAATGCATGAAATGACATTACCCCCGTTAAGCACAGCATATTGTAACAACAAGCGTGTTGCCAGTGACAACAGATAAGTACCGCACATGCATGACTAGCACAAGCATTTAACTGAAAAAAAACTTAATGAGCCCAAGCAACACAGATAGCCTTAGCAACACGCATGTTGCAGATAACCTGAGAGCATTGAATGGGACTTAGCTTGTGAAGACGTTCGAGAGAGTGAAACATAGCAGCTGTGAAGTGGATGCTTGATCTCTTGATATCCTTCTTGAGGATGAAGTTCCCATCTGACTTGTTCGTGAGTCAGTCACATAACTTGTGGAGTTCATAACAATAATGTAGAGATGGTTTTGCCTGCCGAATTCGCCATTTAATTAGCTATTGAGCAATGCGAAAACTGCTGATACTACTGCGGGACCTTATATATGAATGCTTAGATAGGTGTCGTATTCCCATAGGTTGATGGGGATCAGCTGAGTGTCAGCTGATGCGAGCTTGACTAACGTGACCTGCCAGAACTAACGCTACGCTTGATTTACATAAGTAACCTGAGACGTTAGGTATTTGTCCCAACTCCTGCCCCACCTCTATTTACGGCTGGGTAAATAGTGACAGTGACGAGCGCTGCTTTTTACAATTTTCAACTCAGCTGCAAAAAATAAATAAATAAATTCAAAATTCTAAAAGAGGGCAAGCGCAAATTAACTTGTAATTATTATGACAGTGCATCAAAATTCAATGTCATCAGTTTGCCAAAAAGAACACAGAAAGTTTTATGCACCATTTACACGTGAAGCAGGTGTACATTTCTTTCGTGTCAACTAACATTTTGAAAATACGAACATTTTCATGAATTCTAAAGTTTACATCAGAACGGCTTTACGAACGATTTACACAAAAATTTGTTCTGCTTGTGTTTCATGAATTAGGCACAATATGTTACTAAAACAACAATAATAATTATTATAATAATAATGTTCTTTTGAAATATTTTATATTGTCACTGTACTAAAGCCAACACTGTTAAAACAATATCTGGGAAATGTTTACTTTCTACTAACAATACAGCAATAGAATACAAGTCGACTGCATACATTTTTCATTTAAAACAACAATAGCACATTAGCACCATAGCACAGTAAATGTGCTAATATATATATATA